TGTCGAGGTGAGTTCTCTGCTACTGTTCATCATTCTATCATATATTTACTGAAAAATGCATTTGGCAGAATCTCTGCTCATCCATGATTATTCAGTAGGTAACCTTGGGGATATTACTGCCTTCCAGCCTCTCTAAGCAGGAGCAGTACGCATAGCATAAGGATAGGTATGTTTCAACAACATGGTATCTGTAGACACCTATATATCCACAGGTGCCTCTAAACACCCATCAGGCTCCATAGCCAACTTCATTTTTTAAAAATTATTTTAATATGAACAATCAAAAGGGAATCTAGCATGCTGCAGAGCACTCACCTCAAGTATAATACTTCATTTCCAAAATAAAAACTTCCCCAATATATTGCAGAGTTTTCTCAGAAGTCTGGCTATTGCACAAAAGGAGGAGGAAGGAGGAGGGGAGAGGAGAAGGAGATTCATGTAGGAAGATGACGGTAGCCTCTCACTAGCAATAGCACTTAGACTTATATAACACTTCATAGTGCTTTACAGCCACTCTGAGCCGTTTACAGAGTCAGCATATTGCCCCCAGCAATCTGGATCCTCCTTTTACCGACCTCGGAAGGATGGATGCCCGAGTTAACCTTGAGCCAGTCAGGATCGAATGCCAGGCAGTGGGCAGAGTTAGCCAACAATAACTGCATTCTAACCACAGTGCCACCACGGCTGCTTCTGGTAAATGGATATTTACTGACTGGGCAAGCCCACCTTAGCAGGCATTTTATAACAATACCTTCAATGTGCTTTCAAATGATTCTACTACCCCAAACAGTTGGGGAACCTGCCGTTCTGGAAAAGAATGAGGAAGAAAATCTAAACGACTGGCTTTGTCTCAATTACTTGGCAGCAAAGTTAAACAGTGAAACAAAGAATGGGTCAGCCATTCAACAATATGACCAAAATTAAATGGTGTACAGTAAGGACTGCTAGAAAGTATTTAAGTAGCAAATAATGAAGAACCTTAAATATGCAAGTCTGCCGTTAGAATATACCATAGTTGTTAAACTGGACATTTTGTTCATAGTTATTAGTTGCTTTCCTATTATGCCATATTGCATCATAGAACAGAAGTGCCCAAATGTAATGGAGGCATGTAGAAATTTGGGAGTGGTGTTACTAGGATAGTAGGGAATTTTAGAAAAAATGTAGTATAGACAATCCAGTCGCTTTCAAAGGAAGTAAGGTAGGCAGGTTATTGGAAGAGAGGGAGGTGCTGAAAGGATTGGCAGGTGTGTCATAGGAACATCAGGGACTGTATGAGCTTATGGGAATAAGAGAAGGCACTGTAGAATTGGAGCTCAGTGGGTTAATGGTTTGATTAACAGCAGATCTATAGGAAGATGAGGACTGGAAACCTGATTTGTGCAACAGGGCAGATTGATTTAACAGAAATCTTCCCTTTGGGTGGGGAGCTGGGGGAGGGGCTAAAAAATAAAAAAAAATGGAACATAATACTGAAAAGTTTAGTAATCCTTGTTTTGGTCCTGTTTTTAGGATGCCAGTGGTAGAAGTGCCACTCAGCTTCATACATTTGCTATGCAGGAAAATCTTTCTCTTAAATTTGGTCTTTTGGCATCTTGGCTTCTTCTTAATGATCATTATATATTGGTAAGTATTCTTTCAGATAAGGAGATGAACAATAGACGGATGGATGGATATATGGATATACAGGTAGTCATCGCCTTACAACCATTTGTTTGCTGACTTTCGAAAGCTCCCACAGCATTGAAAAAAGTGACTAACAGCTGGTCCTCACCCTCACCCTTGTTGAAGCATCCCATGGTCATGTGATCAAAACCCAGGCACTTGGCAACCTGCATGCGCTTATGTTGGTTGCAGCCTTCTGGAGTCACGTGATTTTTCCAGTCTTCCCAACCAGCTTCCTACAAGTAAAGTCAACGAGGCAAGCCAGATTTGCTTAAAGATTGCATGACTCACTTAACGATGACAGTGATTTGCTTAATAACTGTGACAAAACAGGTCATGAAATCGGGCACAACTCACTTAACCACCTTGCTTAGCAATAGAAATTCAAGTGCTAATGGTCGCCTTAAGTCGAGGACTACCTTATACAGACATTATTAATGAACTTTCAAGTTGCGAATTTTTGCTGATACAAACTGATCTGTCTGTACCCGGAAGTCGGGAAAAGATGGGCAGGTTTGCTTGTATTGGCAAAATATATATATGGTGCGCTGGAAACAAGCTTCCTCTCATCTTCTCCTACCCTGGGGACCCTCTAGGGTAGTGGACAGGCACAGTGCAGATCTCACCCCACATAAGTAGCGGCATTGCAGCAAAATCTGATCCAGTGAATCCTGAGCGGCAGTGGGAGAAAGTGGGAAAGGAAGTTGGGAGAAGACAGGTGTAATGGGAGTTGTGTTGGGAGAAGACAGGTGTAATGGTATTTATTGATGTGTCAAATTTATTGGCCTCCCATCTTACCTCAAGGTAACTCTGGGAGGCTTACAATCATAAAAGATACAAACTACATAAATTAAAAAGATAAGTAAGTTAGTACAAAAAGTCAAATACTACAGTGCAGTTAAAAGATGAGGGCAGGAGTAGGATGGGAGAGGAGGTAGGATCTGTTGTTAATTGATCAGTCACCTCCACTGTGCTGCTGCCCCATTGGAGCCCCAAGCTAACTGGCAGAGCCAGGTCTTTAGGCTCTTAGGAAAAGTCACATTGAGGGGCAAGATGTTCCAGAGGACAGGTGCAACGGCAGAGAAGGCCCTTTTCCGGGTCCCCACCAGCTGGAATACTTGGGCCGACGGGGCCCATAGCATGGCTCCTCTGCCGGCACAGGTGGGGTGGGCCCATTCCAGTGGGCTGAGATGATTCCTCAAGTAGCCTGGACCCATTCCATGAAGGGCTTTAAAGGTGATCACCAGCACCTTGAATTGCACTCGGAACCAGACAGGCATGCATGGAAACCGTTGTTTATTACTTATTGTATAAAAACTTACTTATTGTACATCATCCAGAGTCACCTTGTTTAAGATGGGCAGCCATATAAATCTATACATTTAATAAAGAAATGATAGGTAGATGATGGATGGATGGATGGATGGATGATTATTACGGCTCGTAGAAAATATGGTGGCTTGTGTTGTGGTGGTTGTATCCCTGTATATTTGGGTGATCCTGTTACTTTTGGAGCTGCACTAGCTGCTGATTGGCTTCTGTATGCAACCCAAGGTGTTGGTTGTGACTTGTAAAGCCCTGCGTTGCTCTGCAACAGGTTATCAAAAGCCTGC